CAACCAAACCTGATAAACAGTGATCTGATGTGCTACTTGACCTGTGGACAGACTTTAAGTGAGCTTTTACCCTTTCCAGGAGTCATTTGACTGATGCTTGTACATTATGTTACTTCATGTGCCACAGCTCTAATTTGTTTGTATTCAATGTTCCAGTTTCCAGACTGTCAGAAACCAGGAGCAATTGTTGCATGTTTGATGGAAAACAGGCAGAATCTCACAGTTCAAACATGTAAACATATGATGACTAAAATGCAGGCCATTTTCTTTAGCGATTTCCGTTTGATTTCAAACTTTTTGGCGGATTGTTCCCCAGACGTGAACAAATACAAATGTGGCAGGATTCCATCAGAGCAGGAGGATGATGTATGTTATTAATCAGTTAATCATTTGACAAGGGAATGGGCTGAAAGTAGAATTCTTTCTGAAGAATACAACATAGTGACAGCACAGAAAGTTGTTTCTCAATGGCCCATCAGTTACTAGAAGGCCTTAGTCATGATTTTTTACATGGAAATATTTTTGAAGAGAAAGGAAGATTGGAAAATAATAATAACAATGATAATACTTCAGAGAAACTTTTTGATATTTGTTTCAGGATATCCACTCTCAAAATGATGTGTTAGAATGTCTTGAAGAACACCAAGATGACTTATCACAAGCATGTCAGAAGCAGATATATCGCCTTGCTGAATTGTCTTCAGATGACTACCATCTTGATCGTCCCTTGTATTTTGCCTGTAAAGATGACAGGGAGAGGTTCTGTGCCGAGATCCCATCAGGGGAGGGGAAAGTGTACAAATGCTTGAAGAAACACAAGTTGGAAGAACAAATGAGTGATGAGGTAGGTGGAGGAAGGTACTTTGAATAATCAGTTCAACTAGTTACTAGCTGTTGTGTATGTCAATTATTGTCTCTGAAGTACATTTAAACTTGGCAAAGTGATATTATCAATGCACATTGTGGTGGTAGTTGGTACATTTTTGGCCATGGCCAGGAACAGGCACATTGCTGCCATTGGTTAACACCCCAGTCACAAATGTGAGCCTCCATAGGACTTTAAAGCTAAAGGTGATAGCACGCTCACAACACGCTGACACAACACGCTTAGTGTGTCCTACAGCATGGATTATGCATAGATTTAAAAAAGAAGAGGACACTTGTTTTGTTTTACAAGACTTAACACGCTAAATCTTTTGTTTCTCTAAGTGTGTGATTGGTAGCATGCTTATATAGTTGTGTGAACGATAGCACGCTTAGTGTGCGATCGATAGCACGCTTTACTTTGCGATCGATAGCACGCTTAGTGTGCAATCAATGACATGCTTAGTTTGCAATCGATGGTGCACCCTGTACGAAAATTCTCGGTGAGACACCAGCCATAAAAAATATGCTAATCAGCGAGAATCAAACATGACAAGTCATGGCGATGATTCGGCTGACATGAGCAAGACAAACAAACAAGAATTGAGCAAGAACAGAGCATGACATGTGTGCCGCCGAGTGCGTCTGATCGGGCCATATTCAAGCCCTCCCATTCAAAAATTTATGGCCAGACACGAGCGAGATTCAAGTCAGACAACAGTCCTCCTCTTAAAGCCAGCAAGAATCTAGCAACGAATGTTTTTCTTACTATGGAACACTTGCGAAACCAAATGCGGCTTATGTTGATTCCCTGCCCTAGGACACTCCAAACCTTCTGTGATATTTTAGGGCAGTGGAATACTTGGAAATGAAGGCTGAGAGTTTGGAAAAGCTTAATCTTAATTTGGTGAGCGAAACTACAAGGACAACAGAGGGGGATTATTAGAAAAAAAAAATTAGTAGATATAAACTCCCTTGATAAGAAACCCTGTAATTGGGAGGAGAGAGAAGGAATGCTGAGAACTGCTATCTTCAACAACAACAAGAACACTCTACAGTGCGTTGAACACAGTGTAAGCACATGGAAAACAATGCATGCACTGATAAGGAACATTTGTGGACATACAACTTCTGCAAATATATATAGATGTTGCAGGAAATGGGTTGAACCCAAGCATAACAGTTGATTGGGGCTTTGTGAGTGCTCTTTGAATCTCCCAATTGCATTCGTAACTTAATCTATGCATATTAAGCATGAACCAATTCTTTTCATGAGTACGACCCAATTGAAGTAATGTCTAGTCTAAGATTAATTTGTTTTTGTTTCATTTCTTATAGTGTAAAGACAAGTTGACAGAGAGACAAAAATTGGAAGCTAAGGATCCCAAGGTGAGACAATCCATACCAGAAATTTTCAAGATTGGGAAGTGCTTTTCCAAATCTAATTTATTCAGCCCTTCTGTGTTTACTGGGTACAATGGTGATTCGGTGAAAACTCCATTTTTCTCATCTCAAGGGGGAAAGGAAATTGTGCAAAACTATTGGGAGATTCAAAACATTTATGAGAAGGGAAGTCTGTTTTCGTTAAAATTACTGGGAGTTTTGAGAAAAGGAGAGATTAAGAAATCAGATCATGCTGTGTGCAGGCAAGAAGGGTAAATGGATGGTAATTCACATGAAATCACAATTGTGTATTAAAAGTGAGGTGGGCATTGTCAAAAGCAAAGAAGAGGGGTGATACTCGGAAGAACAGAGAAGAAATCCAGTTGAGTGACAATGTTAAAGATTGCAATCATAGACCTCTAGATTTCATGCTTGGGCCATAAATCTGAGCTGAAAAAACTTGGTCTGTAACCTGCAATGTGGACCTCAAACTGGGTTTGTAAGATGTAGGTATCATCTGATACCTATTTTACTATCAATTGCACTATTTTTACTTGTGAGAGGTATTTGTTTCTTCTTTGAAGGCCAACTATCCTTTGATGAAGAATTGCCTGAAGTATTATAAAGAATTTAAGGAAAAATATGAATGCGAAAGAGGAAACACAAAACATGGAGCCATGGCAAACATTCTGATATGTTTGGAGAAAGCTATACAAAATGGTAATGATTCACACACAGATTATTTAAATTGTTGATTTCTTTAGATATCCGTGACTTTACTGAAAGAAAATAAGACAGGTCCAAAAATATGGCAGTATTGTGTTGATATTGTTATTGCCAAGGGGATTGTTACCCTCTGTCAAAAGGTTTCAGGCTTACACCCATCCTCAATTATTATAATAATTATTGCCTATTTTTGTGATTTAACTTTGGAATTATGGTACGTTGCAGATGAAAAAGTGGGTGGTAAATGCCAGGCAGAATTGTTTGATCTGCGGCAGCAGTTGATGACAGATTACTCTCTCAGTCCTGAGATTGTTGCCAAGTGTGACCTGGAAATCAGAGACCATTGTCAAAAAGAAGCAACAGTGAAGGAAGGGAAGACAATTGATTGCTTAATGGCCTTAGCAGAGGAGCATGAGGGAGATGAAAGTAAAATCAGAACACAGTGCTTTGCAGCAGTAAGTATTGAACTGTATATGAATTGGAACAAGGGCTTTGTCTGTTGAAATCCAGCCTGTGGTCCAGGGATATAAATAAAATCAAGCCTGACAGTTTACCCACTTAGCTCTCAAATGTGGCAGCTAACTCACATGTTCAAAGAATTAATAGTCCTATATGATGCAACTGTGAACAAGACTAGGATTAAAAATCACAACCGGTGGAATTTTTCATCGTTTTTCCATATATTTGCACCCAGTCACTAGACTAATGTTTTCACAAAACTCTTTTTTCTCTTAACCAAAGCTGAATTTTTTTTCATTTGTTACTTAATTTTCTTTGGAGAGTGTTGTACACAATTAAAAAAAAAGCGGTGTATTAACAGTACACTCATAGTGCATGCAGCTTTTGTTAATTATCAATTAAGGAAGAATCATCAATCAGCTGTGTTGCTTGACAGGTTGAGGAACTTTTAGAAGAAACTGGTGCAGGAAGTGATTACCGTATTGATCATACCTTGTACCAAGCATGTGATCCTGTTGTGCAGACTGTGTGTAAAGATAAAGGCAAAAAGGAGGGTGATGTAATGTGAGTATCGAGGAGTATTCAAACCAGCAGAGTAATCTTTAAATTACCAATTTGAATTCCAAGAGATTGTAGGCAGTAGCAAGAGGTATTATGGGCTTTGAAGGAAAACACTGTTGGGTTTTTTAAGGCCATTCAGTGTTCGACTCCTGGCTACCTGCATTACTAACCACCGGGCTAGTGATTTCTAAAATTTACCAGCCCGAAACACAACTTGGTAGCCCGGGTCAATTTCCCTTCAGGTCTACTTCAACCCCAAACAACACGCAAACCTTCCTCTAAACTTATTGGCAAGGTCTTTGAAAATGATAAAGTCGGAATGGTGTTTTTCTTTCATTGTGATAACATAATGTGCTATTTAAGAAAAAAGCTAAGTAAATTTTCAAATGCGAGGCGATCATGCGAGGCGATGTGGAAGGCAGTGCAACATTGTTAGGGAGAAGACTGGGGAAGACATTGACCATTAAGAGGAGAGTCTGGGATCTTGCGATGTTTACGATCAACATGCAAGACAAAAAAAGACATCAGAATATGAAAGGTTTATGCTTTTTTTATTGCTATTATCATTACAATTTAACTTTGTTTTTTTTAAATWA